GCAGACAACTTTCTCCCTCCGTGTAAGAGTCAGGCATCAAACTTCAATTAAAAAGCAATACCTTAGGTATTTAAGTGCAAAAGTATCTTCCCTTTGATGATCTCCCTCCCTCTGCCTCCATTAACATGTTGTCAAGTTCCTAGTCTCTTACTTCAAAAATTAATTCCACAATTTTACAACCATGCTTCAAAACCCCACATATTTGGTAACATGAGCTTTGCTTCCTACAGCCAATTAAATGAGAATAGCATGATTAAGAGATATTCCTGATGTCTGGCTTCAAATCCTGGCCAGTATTACCGTCCAAATGGCATAAGAATTTCAGATACCTGGTCTTAATCATATCTGCAGGTGTTAGCACTGAAGCTCTGGTATTCAAGTTCTGTACATGGGTATGTGCACATTAAGATATAGAGTACAAAAAAAAAAAAATCTGCTTTCTGGGTAGAAATCTGTAGAACCTGCTACCCCAATTCCAGCACAGGAACTGGGTGAACATTTTCTGAAGAGGCACATTTCTTACAATAGCAAGTGATTTATGTTAAATGAAAGTAATTTTAAGATGTTTCTAGAATTCAAAATGCTTGAAAGGCTTATTTTAAAAGCCCCAGTTATGTTTCAACATGGATATACAACAGGTATGTACCTGAGTAGGTGAAAAATCCAGTTATCTTGCTGTTAACTAAATATCTAGACAGTTTTCACTGCAAAAAAATTACTAAGCCAAAAATCTTACCTCACTCAAACACATTTTTTGCAAGCTACAGCTACCACCTGCAGTTCCAATTACCCAAAACCCACAGTATTCAGCATGAAGAGTTAAATGTGGCATATAAATCTCATGTTAAATCTGCATAGAGACTTTGACATATTGCAGTATATTGAATTAGGCTGCCACATTGGCTTTATACACGCTGCAGAAAAAGTGAAGCAAGTGGAGATGGATCAAGTGTGTGTGATAACACACACGATATAGATCAATGTAAATGGGAGTAACAGCAGTAATAATGATAGCATGAAAGTCACAGGAAGAGGCCATCTGTAGTCCAATGGCATAGTAATCAGTGGGAAGAGTGGATGTGATAAGTCACAAATCTCACATGGCATCATCAGAGAATTAGTAGAAAATGTCTTGATGTGAGCATGATTGGTGTTGTGATCCATGTACATGTGATATTATAATAGCAGG